CTTCATGAATGACTGGCGCCGACATCCCAAGCGCCATTTTCCTTTTCAAAACGACCCCAGTCCTGAACAAACGGGAAGTACCAGGAGTAAATTTTTCGCATCATATGGTAGCAGAATGTGTCGGACGTCTGTTTCTCAGACACATTGTGCAAATTTTGCAAATTCCAAGCGCTCGTCATTCCCCATGCCAAGACCTTCGCTCGGTTGCGGAGTGTTTTCCTCGGGAGATGTTCTGCTTTGTAAACGGCCCAAACCTGTCCATCGTGTGGTTTTATCGGGATTTTGTGTTTAAAAGAAAATTATTCGCTGCAGATCTGCCTCTTGAAACTTCGTTAGATAAAATTTTACAATAACTGACACTTTTGGAGGGTCAGGTGTCCTTGGCATTGACGATTTTTGTGTTATTGTCCCCAAAAATTAGCGTTATAGATATTATAAACAATTTTAAATTATAATTTGTCTTTATTTTACGATGACCTGCACTTTTTCAAAATGGGTAACCTCTGTCTGTGACCTTCTTGCCAGTTTTCAATAGTTATGACCGCATTTTCAGCTGCTTTCCGGAACACGAGTCTGCTGTCGTGCGAGGGTCGTTCAAAACGCCGTTAGTCTCGCATGGTTTCGTCCTTCAAAAATTTTAGCCACCGTTTTTATGAGATAATCATCATGTTGCACTCATCCTCGCCGACACTTAGCCATGTGTCATTTCCGACTTAACCATTCCCATTACTCCTGAAACAGAGAGTTTCACAACATACCCGACTTTGCAACCTACATTTTCGTGCCTGACCCATGGTCAGAGGTGAACCCTTTTTGTGAGCTCATGAAGGGTCGAATGCACTTGAAAACAATGAGACTGCTTGAGGAAGGTTGTCACCAATGCCCATGCAAAATTTCGACTGTTTATTTCTTGTTGATTCAGAATTATTGACAAAAAAGCATGGCTGGTACCTGTGAACGAACTTTTGAGACACCCTGTATGTGTTATGCTGCTGTTTTCAGAATCAAGACCTTGCATAACACCAGCCATGAATTTGGAAATATGGCCTGGAGATTGGGGTCTGCCATCAATTGATTCCAATTGCTTGGAAGTTCTGGTAAGTAGTGAGCTGGCACCTCCTTTCCCATCTTGTCATTAGTCAAGTCAAAAGCAGTCATCTTCATTCTGGTGGGAAGGGATTCCAGTCTTTTTTTTTTTAATTTTTTTGTCCGAACCTTTTGATGGGAAGGATTCACAAGGACAGAGCCACCGCTAAGCGAAGCTCGTTGCGATGACCCTGCCCTCTACCCTCCGATCGCGCAATTCCGATTCTATGGCAGAATTTAGAGTCCAAAGTTAAACGTGCGCACAAAGCCGCGCACGGCCGGTCCCCTCGCTGACTTCGCCTGGCTACGGCCTGCCACCAACCGCAACCATACCTGTCAGGAGGCCCATAAATGTCGAGCGCCCGTCGCGCTTCGAACCCGGACTGTTATAACCGGGAACGCGTGCTCTCACCACGCGGAGTCCAACGCTCTAACCAACTGAGCTACGGGACCGGCTACGGGAGTTTGTGTGTGTAATTGTGTATGTTGGTAGTTAATGCCACAGCACTTAGCTTAGCTTGCGATGCATCAACTTTGCGACCCTTATCAGAGTTCTGGCCCCATGTCACTTAAGGGCAGGGCACCGGGTACAATGTTAGTAAGGTATCAGGACCCATGCCTCTAAAATTGTCTGATTGTGCTACAGAGTATTTCAAGAAAGTTTTTTAATTGGTTGTTCACTATTCATCAGTTTTTTTTAATTGTTCATAAAAAATGTGGGCTTCAGTTATTGCTACAAATTAACTTGCACAGTGCACTGGAGCAGCGCTTGGTACTTATACCCGCACTGGGCCGGGGATGTGAAACACACCTCCTCCGCTCTGACTCGGCTCCTGAGCCACGTAGCGACGCGTGGTAGGCGATGTTCGAAAGAGCGTGAAAATCATGAACCTAGTATTTCAGTCAATCTTGAGATGTCATAGGTCAATTCACTAGAGTCTAGACTAGAGGTCATAAAGGTTACATTTCGCTATCTGATTCCTGTTGTATCCCCTCTGTGTAGACCTATTTGAAGATGTGCGGCGCCGAAGCGGAGCTGACTGCCGCCAACAACCCTCTGCGCTCTCCGAGCGGGCATTTTCCCGTGCTGCGCCACGAGCAGGCTGTGATCGGCTTGCTAGATGATATCATACTGCATCTGAAACGCCAGGTGAGGGGTCGGACCGCGGTCCGGGGCTCCGTCGTTGGCCGGTGTCGCTGGGTAGTGGGTGCTGGCCGGCTAGGAAGAGTCTTCTGACGGGTAGTGTGTGCTGTCAGACTGGATAGCGTTCCCTGTCAGGATGGGTACCTACTACCTAGCGTCTCCTGATTGATACAGGTAGCCGTTAGTGTCTGCTGTTGGGCTGTGTAGTGTTTCCTGTCAGGCTGTATAGTGTTTCCCGTCAGGCTGGGTAGTGTCTGCTGGCTGCTGGCTGGAGTGCCCACACCCCCTGAGCCCACCAATGGACGCCCTGTGTGTGTTCTGCAGAACTACAACCCGGATTACGCGCTGTCGGCCCGCCAGTGTGCCGACTCGCTGGCCTTCTCCAACCTGCTGCGGGACCGCCTGGAGCCGGCTCTGTGGCTCTGTTGGTACGTGTCAAGTGCCGGCCGAGACACGGCGCTTCTGTCGCTGTGGGGACGCTTCCTTATCATATAATTTCGTCAAATAATCGCATTGTGCTTATTAATTTGATCGAAACCAATTTTTCAATGTTACTCAATACGCTGCATTATGCTTGATCATTTCGCCAGATACTGAAATTTTACGAGAACACCTCTAATCTTACTGTGTTTATATTGTCTCAGTTCTGTATTTATCGTGTCAGACGCGCTGACTCGCTGGGCGGGGTCCGCCGCAGGTGGGTGGATGCCAAGAACAGCACCGAGCTGACGCGCAAGTGGTACGCGTCACACCTGCGATTCCCGCTCAACTTCTACTACCCCTCTGTGTGGGAGGCGGCGGCCCGGCGACGGCTGGCCGCCGTCTGCGACTTCGATGCCACGCCAGAAGCCGTCGAGGCGTATGTAAGTGGAACCGACACGCGCAGCTGCTGTGCTAGTTTAAGGACACTCGTCGCTGCATATCGGTGGTAAATAATGACAGCTGGGATCCGGCTCGTATGCATTACAAAACAGACTTGGGCCGCAGGTTGCTAACGGCTGCCGTCCGGCAGGTGTGTCGTCGCGCCGACGAGTGTTTCTCGTCGCTCTCGGAGCAGCTGGGCGACCGGCACTGGTTCCTGGGCGGCAGTGCGCCCACCTCACTGGACGCGCGGGTGTTCGGCCTGCTGGCGCCGCTGCTGCGCGCGCCTCTGCCCAGCCACCGACTGCAGGGCCTGCTCAAGGGATACCCCAACCTGGTCACCTTCGTCGGTCGCGTGCAGCAAAAGTTCTTCGTCAAGGAGCGGGATGGTGAGCCAGCACACCTTCAAGAGACAAAGTTAACGAAATGCTTACCGTTGAATGTATTTTGATTGTTCTTATTTTTTCATTTGAAAGGATGCCGGTTTTTGCCGCTTTCATTTTTAATCTCATTCAAACAAATAAGTTATTACAGTCACTTTCGATTGCTGAATATTTCTGTAGTGCTAGTGTTTATATAATCACTGCTGTGGTTACTGTACTACTGCTCTAGTATCACGGTATCAGTGCTGTATTATTTCTGCACCACTACTGTATCGCTGCACCACTGCTGTGTGTGACCCCCAGAGTACGAGGCACGTCAGAAGGACAGACGGTCGGGCGAAGGCGGCGGCTCCCGGGCCGATAACACGGCAGATGACGCCGAGTTCCCGCACAAGCGGCGCAACCAGGTGCTGGCGGGCCTAGTCGCCGCTGTCGTGATGCTGACCTTCGCGCTCACCAACGGCATTGTCAAGGTGCGGGCTACACATGCTGACGCAGGGTGGGGAGGGAAGCCGGCGCTGGGGCGGTCAGATTGTAAGGCATCGACACAGGAGGCGTTCTTACCTGCCTCCGCTGATCTAAATCGGCTTCTGAGTCACGTAGCGACAAGCTGGAAGCGAGAATGAAACATAATAGGGAAAGTCCTTTATTAAATTATAGTAAAAGTCAACAGACATCGCGCCGAAGTCAAACTTGACCGGTTTCGAACTTGAAGGCAAGTTGGCTCCAAGCATGCGAACTAATGAAACATTCTAAGCGAGTTGGAAATAGGCGAATCGTCTAAGCGAACTGTTGTGCTGACGCAGTCGGGCTTCTGTTTCAGATCGAGACTCAGGACCAGTCTGAATACGACATGTCGGAAATGGATGCCGACTAGGCGCTCAAACCGTCGGCAGACCCTATAGTTTTGCTCCATGTAGTAGGCAGAGAGCCTGTGAGGCTGTTGATGTGTATGATGTGTATAACGGATGCGTGTAGGCCCAGCGGGGTTATTTTGTGAGCTGAACTTGTCGATTCGGTATCGCTGTGACCTATTTTGATGCCGCTACTGATTTGGTGCCAGGGTGTAGCGGGGATGGCACTGCGCTGGCACTATGGATTTGCAGTGCCCTTGTTTTGTATGGATTAGATGGGCCGATCGTGCCGGTCATACGACTCACTAAGTAAACACATGGCTGTGTATTTTATTGCCTGTTTATGGTCATTGATCGGCAGTGGACAGTAGGCCCAGAGAAGGACTCAAAGAACGCCGTCATTTGTGTCCCCATTCGTTTACCCAGTGCAGTTTGTGTTTACTTAGCATTTGTTAGGGTCCCATTTGTAGGTATTGAAACCCTGGTTTTCGACCGTAAGCGTGTTTATTTTTGGGTAAAGATGCATTTTGTGCCATGCAGCGTTGCAAAATAGGTTGGAGTATACAATAAACCCACTTTTTATCCAAATATGCACCCCTTGTTTGATGATACATCAGATTGTCGACCCACGAGTGACTGCTCTCTTAGATGTGGACATTACTTGGGACGCAACTCGCTCTCTTAAATGTGGACATTACTTGAAATGCAACTCTTTGCAACTTGTAACGCAGAAACGCGCTATATAGTGGACTCCTTGTCACGTTCGGTGAGCGTCCGCTATCCGTACGGGAAATGGTACAGTGTCCCCCAGCCGTCCACAACAGTAGAGTGTGCCACCCGGCACCCAGCACTCAGCAGTCGGCAGTTGCTGAGGTCGTCAGCAGCTCTCCACAGTTGAAGATGACCAGACCAGCACCCCCGTCAGCAATCTCCAGCGGCAGAGATCGTCAGCAGTCGGCAGCTGGCTGCTGAGGTCGTCAGCAGCTCTCCACTCCCAAGCACCCCGGTCAGCAGTTGCCAGCGGCTGAGGCTGCCACGGGGCTTCTGGTGGAGCTGGGTCGGGAGCAGCGCTTGTACTCTGTAGGGGTAAGCATTCCCCTGCAACAGGTTATAGTCACGTGAGTGGGACTCATAGAAGCTTAGCAGACAGCGAGAATCTCACACAGATTAAGCCAAAGGAAGTAATAGGTTAACATTAAATTAGACTGGAGCCAATAGGCTAGTTAGAATTAAGAGAACTCCACCATTTTACTTTACACAGAGCAGAATTAAGCCATGATTGCCACAGGCGCGAATTTTGAGGGCGTATAAGCTCGCACTTCTGCCCATTTGTATGTACTCTCAGATACCTTTTGATGACGTCATATGACACTTTGACCCCGTTGCTCCTCAGTTTCTGGTAGAGCTGCCAGCACTGGTGCTCGTGCGGCTCGCTGTGCTCGTCTGGTGCGTCCTCTGGTTCCGGTGAGCGCGGCCGCAGCGAGCGGCGCAAGTCAGACGGCGCCAGTGTCTGGCAGGCTGGGACCGGGTCGCCAGGAGCGAGCGTCGAGAAGTGGGTGGAGTCAACACCACCGGCGGGGCACCTGACGGTCGGACGGCCAGGAGGAGTCAGACAGTCTACTGGGTGAGTGCAAACACATAATGGGAGGCGTGTATGGTATTTAGTATTCACCGTGAAGCACAGGCAGGGAGACATAAAAAAAGCATAGCGTTGCGTGGTATTAATGGCTGGTTGTGGTACCCTAAAATTTATCAGAGTCCTACCAACGGCTTTTGGCAAGTGTCGCCCGTGTACTCGACATGTCAGCACCACGGTCGTATGCCAGTACGAAGACGGGTTGACGTTACATTTAATTTGCTGGTACCGAGGCGTTTAGCACTTGGGGAGCACTGATCGTGTTATCACCAGGGCGCTGAGGCCAGTGGTCGGTGCTGACGGACTTACGTGCCGGTGGCTGCCGTCGCCGGGCAGACTGCCGCAGCCGACGGACGCTCCGAGTCAGACACCGGGGCGGGGGTGGAGCGGGGCCCCGGGACTCCAGAGACGTCCCCACTCGCCGCCACCGTGGCCATCCTCTCTGCTGAAACAGCCGGAAGCTCAGCCGACAGTTGCTTAAACAGGTCAAAAGTATTATAAATCTAAGTACTCTTTTTCACTAGGGACACACATGAATCTTAGATATCTGTGGTTAGAAAAAAATATGTGGTGGTTACGTCACTGACAAAGTCACTTGCCACGTGTAAATGCGTATGCGCCGAACATACCAGCGATTTTTTTCATTTAAACTCAAATTACATAACGCCGTGTAGTGGAATTCAAACTATCAAGATGCAACAATCAAGATGCAACAGCCTTTTTCATAACTTGGCATCCAGAAAGATCGCTGTTCAAGTTTATAAGTTTTCTGAAGTATATATTTATTCTTCCATTCGACCGGGCGATTGTCGGAGCGAGGAACGCTGCCGTGTCGGTACAAGGCCGCAGGTCGATACCAGATAACCAATGTGGCCCGTTCGTGATGATGGGAGGGGGGGGGGGGGGGAGGGTGGCAGTTTAATCGATGGACGCTATCTAAACACTCCACACCGCGGGAGACCGGCTGTCACGTACAGTCGGCACGACTGGAAAATCACGCAATGGCAGCAGAGTCGATCAAATAAAACAGGCGAACGGGCAGCGGACATGCTGCTTCGGAGAGGGAAGCGAGAGAATCCGAGATCAGTTATGGTTCAAGCCGAATGCCGTCCATTTACGTACTGAGATTCACATTTTGCACGTTTTTATAGTGCGATCCGAAATTGGTTAAAGCCCTGCTCGCTGGATAAATGTTTAAAAGAAATCGGGAAATTTTTAGTTCGATGATCTATAGCTATCTGACCTTTGACATGAAAACAGTTACTAAAGAACATGCCCAGTTTTGTTATGATTTTTACGACCATCCTAATGCATCTTGCGAGATTCACGAGTCGGGCTCTGGAGGGCTGAAGATTAGAGTGTATCGATAACCGAAATTTGCAAGGAAACTGGCATATTATTTGGCGCAAGGACATAAAAATAATATCTGGGCGCAACATTTTCCTCAAAACTCAAAATTGACTGACCCGGAACGGTTTTTGTAAACCCCATTCCAACTGCTGCGGACATAGGATGAAGCTTTAGTTCTCCCCTTTTGACGCTAGATGGCAGTGATTCCAGACTGTCTCTAACTTAATTTCAGACATCTGTAAACGTAAAAAAAGCCATTCGGATTAAATTATGCACATTTTTTTTACATCATTGGTGTTGGTATATTGCTGTTTTTTCCATTGCAAGTGTTTTTTCCATTGCAAACGCATAGCTTTCCACACATTATCACACATAACACAATACACATTACCTATGCATTAGCGCCCTGAGCTCTTAAACACGAACAAGTAAATAGCAGATTAGGCAACTATTAGCAACTGAGCTCCTGCCGCATCGTACTTTAAAGGAAGACTGCCACCTTCAAAAAGTTTTCTCAGATCGGCCTATGATTTATTCCCTGGACAAAACAAAATTTTAGAATTCACCTGACAAAGTATCATCACGTGAATCGCGAAAAAAAATTGTCCATTATCATACAATTATCAATCGGTTAATGTCTAGCGACAATGTTTACACATCACTAGACTTCAAGGTCATAAGATTATTACATTTTATTTGAAAAAGTAAGGTATTTTATGATTTACTAATATATGATTTCATAAGAAATTGGCCATGTTTAATTTATTTTGCATTTAAGTTCGTAAAACATTTAAAAATCATGGCTCATTTGGAATGGGTCTGGCCCATGTTAAACCCCATTTCCCACACTTTTTTGGAAGAAATGAACTACTGAATATATAAGTTTAACTTTTATTTTGACACTCCAAAATTCTTCTCTGATCTCGAAACAATAAAAGTTTTGACACATATTTACCAAAAGATAAGAAAATTCATGTTTCAAAGTTATCGATAAACAGTAGAGATGTCGGTTTTCTTGGACTAAAAAAATGGCATCAAACTGAACTTTGGTCTCCGATTTCTCGCAAACGGGCTCGAATTTCGGAAAACCGACTTCAGTCTGGGACATAGGTGGCTCAGCTCTAGTGAAAACCGTTTTGTGGAAAAAAGGTGGCAGTCTACCTTTAAGGACTACATATAGCCGGTACAATTGTGGTACCAGCGACCAAATGTCAAAGTGGACACTGGTCAGGTGCTCGGTAACTGGTGACTGGTGAGCCAGTTTGCTTTCTGTCCTATATTACGACTAATTCACCATCATCCTTGCTTGCACTTCTCCGTGTTCCGGATTAACGGTCCGCCTAGCAGACAACCGATGAAAGTCAGCTTCGGAGTGACCATTTCAACAAATGTATGCTCTAGTCTGTCCCGTTGTGACTTGCCGTCAAAACAGTATGTCCCGGCGCTGAAATGCCGTCCCAGCAGTACAGCGGACTAGTCGTCAGTGGTTGATTGAACCGATTGAGCCTTGGTTGATTGAACCTTACATTGCCCTCTCCCTCTCGTGTTTTATCATCCCAGCATAGCCTGACTCAGAGCATTGCAGCCATTATGGTGTCTTTTGACTGAGACGCTGCGGCACACAGCCGGTGCCCGATGGTCAACTTTATTCTGATATTGCCCTCTCCCCGCTAATTCATTTATTCATCATACCACGGCCCTAAAATGTTCTCGAATAGACTAACCCATAGGCTCTAACCGTAACCAAGCATAACGAACAAACCCACTTAGCAGTCTCCGAACGTCTGCTGTTAAAATTAGTAGCCAGTAGGTGAAACCGAAACCGACGAGTGGCCACGTCAAGCGGTCCCTCAGTGCCCCAAAGGTGGTCACTTTCGGGGTAGAACTTGTCACAACTCAGCCTATCCTACCGGACTGCCGTGGGCTCCTCTCTTACCGCGCGGCGAACACGGTGAATATCGTGCGCTGGTAGTATTACATACAGCTCGCATCCCAAATAAATAGTTACTGCCGGCGAAGGCCCAACCATTCACCGTACTATGGTGCAGGTCCGGTGACTTTCCCGCCGCCCGTGTCACCGCGACCAACGGCGGCGACAGTGCCGTCACCGGTCCCCTCGAGACCCGGCGATGCCGTCTGTATTTGTTTGTTTGTTTGTTTTGTTGGGTTAGGCTCTTTCGGTCCGACAAGACCATTTCAGAGCCGGATGATAGGAATTAGGGGGTGACATTGGTCTGGGCAGGCACCCTAGTGAGTCGCCGGGGCTGAGCCCGTCCAGAGGACAAGCCACCCATCCCCAAAGTACTCACTGCACCCGACTACGGGGTGCGCTCCCTCGGGAGCCGCGGTGCCGCTCCAAGGGAGCAGCCCGCATGAGATAAGTTGCCTGTCCAGCCCGGAGGGGATTTCGGCGTGGAGGAGAAGGATTTCAGTATCCTGAGGATGGAAGCACGGAACGGGTGCCGTCTGTACCGGAACAGCGCACTATCTGTACCCGAACAGGTGCGTCTATGTAGGTGGAATAGGCATACTACCAAACTGAACTGCCGCATGCGAGAGACGGCTACAGTCAACCAGGACTCGTGAGTCTGCGGTGTTTTAATACAGGATCACATGTAAGAGCCCGGTCACCGGCACAGATTGACTGTCAACCAGTCCGTGATATGACCCCTGCTGTAGCTAGCTCACGTTCGGGCCCTGTTCGGCGCACTTGCCGAGGCCAATGACGAGACCGACTTTTACGTCGGTCCTTCTCCGCCGCGCCAACCGAGTTAATAAAATACCTTTCACCATTGCTTTCATAGTTCATACATAATCCAGAATCCTATTATTTGACTCATGTGCCGTACACACTTTGCCTCTGTTGCCGCTCAGCCGTTTCAAGCGTCACAGGCACTAAATGAAGAGCTCTTTGCTAACTGACGGTGAACTGGGCTGGTGCGCGATAGGCACTGGTGTACGCAATGCACTTTAGTTTTTAGGGTATTTCTATTACTTTGCTCAAAAGCAATGGCCATTTGTGACCCAGACAAACATACAGTGATCATAGAACAGGAGACATGAGAACAGCACGAAAACATAGCGTAGGAGAAAAGTGCATAGATGCGGTTTGATACTGTTAATGATAATGATACAGATATGGGCATTCAAAGTCCATTCAAGCCTTCCAACGCATGTAACGCTCTCCTATACACAGCAAGGTATAAGATAGGTTTCGATCTGCCCCAGACAGAACAGGGCCTAGGCCGAGAGCCGAGAGCAAAACTAGGGCAAAATAGGCACATGTGTAGCTAAAACTCCACACTCCCTGTGTGTTTTGTTATTTTATACTATGAAGTATGTCAAAGGAACCTCTAACTGTCATTTGAAGTTGTTAAACTAGACGTCTGAAACAAATTATTATGGGCAAATAAGGAAAACAAACGCTATTGAGTGAGTAAGATCAGCATCAGACACCACAAACTGTGTTAAAACGCCATGCCGACGCCAGCGCCACCTACAATTCTAGATGTCGCTAGTAGGTTATCCCATAGGAGCCCGTGTTACGGCGAGATGGTCTCAAAGAAGTGGGCGCGGACCAGAGAATACTGACCGCAGGACACCGATTTTGTGTTTTTCTTACTTACAAATATATAGCGCCACTTTATCTGACAGTTTCCTCTCAATCTGGAATAAAAACCCTCAAATCGATACACTCTACTGAAGATTACTCCCCTCCAACCCATTACTAGGAGTTTTGCGAGGCGCTCGTCATGGTCAGGGCAAATACAATTTTCTCTTTTTGTGACGATCAATTGTTTTTAGATGGATTTTTACTTCCGTCAGAAAAAAAAATAAACGTGAAACGTTAGTGGCGTAACTGAACTGAGCGTGAAAGCTGAACAAACACCTAAGATCTCACCACTCAAATTGCGGCCATTCGGTGTTGCCTTCTTCTGATCGGTGCGGCCATCCCCCGCCGGCTGACCGGCAGTCCCTCCTTCCGCGACCGCCTTCAGAGCTCCACTCTCCTTGAGAGATCGTCTGCCAGCCTCTCCAGCCGCGGCTGACTTGAGTGCACCGATTGCCCGCTGAGCGAGCACGGGTC